TCATGTCCAAGTTTATCATGTTGTTTTAATGCCATGTCCAAAACTCAACAGACTATATGGTCTTTATCTTTTCTTCCTTCACAAAGGTTTTCAGCACTTGGAATTGATAGAACATATATGCAGAACATAAATCTTTTTATCTCTCCAATCTATCCTTCACTTAATGACTTTAACTCATTCTTGTATACTCTGATGCTCTGAGAAACCACTAAATGAAAAATATTTCTATGAATTCTAATGGGAAAAACTATGATGTGTTTTATGTCTACCCAAGCAAGATATCCAAGTGATTTCCACAAATAGAAAAATAATTCATTGAAAGCAAGTTCAAATAATAGAGGTTAAATTGAAAGTAAATAGAGACTGTATAAAATGTTAATTGTTAGAAGCTTACTTTAGTCATTGATTGAAGAAAAAAAGTTGTGAGAGTGTGTGGTAAGTGATAGAAGAAAGTAAGAATCATACTTTGGGGTGTGTATTCTTTTCTTAAAATCATTTCTTCATACTTTTTTCAACTTCTGTAGCTCATGGTTATCTTACACTCAAAATGCATTTAAAAATAAGATTATAGCACAGAAAAACACATTTAAAGTTGAAGAAAAGTAAACACAATATTGCTTTGAAACATGTGGTAATAATATCCAGATGCTCCTAGACTTAACAATGAGGTTATGTCCTAATAAACCTATCTTAAGTTGAAAATAACATAAGTAGAAAATGCATTTAATACACCCAATCTACTGAACATCATAGCTTAGCCTAGCCCACCTTAAACATGCTCAGAACACAATATCCAAAAACACCGGCAATACAGTACACTGCAGATATCAGTGGCTTATCCTCATGATCATGTAGCTGACTGGGAGCAGCCACTGCCCAGAATCATGATGCTACCGAACTTAAAGAGTTTGCCACATGGGGTGCTCCATTCAAAAATGAGTCATGGTTGTCTCAAGGTAGATTTATTTACTTGCAGCAAGTAAAGGAGACAGAGGGTTCACATCCAAAACCCTGCCTCCTGGAAGTTTAACCATTGCTTATATACTGGTCAGTTATATGTTGATTTATTCTTCGTAGTTGGCTACTTTTATCTGGTTGACTTCCTGTCACCTTATCCTGATTACTGCTGAATTTGCAAAATGCTGTGCTATTGTTAACATTTAGCAAGAAATAACATTTAAAACTGTCCAAATCTTGAGGCCCTTGTCCTATCTAACAGTGAGAAAGTATCATACTTCATATTGCTATCACATCATCATTAAGTCAAAAATCATAAAGTCAAACTGTTTAAGTCGGGGACTGTCTGTACATGCATAGCAAGACAAGAGTCTTAGAAAATGCTACCCATTCATTCTTCTTACCTGGCTCATGTGTGCAAAGCAAAATATCTGGGCATGATGTTATCTGATTAAAAAAAATTGTTGTATCGCCCTGGCTGGTTTTGCTCAGTGGTTAGAGTATCAGCCCTCAGACCAAAGGGTCATGGGTTTGATTCTGGTCAAGGGCACATACCTGGGTTGCAGGTTCTATCCCCTGCTCCAGTCAGAAAGCAACAGTCTGTCCTTTCTGTGAGTATGTTAATATGCTGCTCCTTTGAAAGACTTCAGCTTTACATCATCATTATCATCATTATTATAGCTAGAGTATTTAGAATTTAATACATATCAAGAAAGATAATGATTATTTATCTCCCATTATCCTGAAGAACCAGAGTATCAAAGGAAAAGCAGTAATACAAGACGTGCGACTAAAGCATTGTTCTTTAGCAGCCAAAATTACAAGAAGAGTTTTAAATGATTTCTTTAATTGTAAAACTAAAACAAAACTTGTTCATGTGCCTTTTGATATACACACTGCTTCAACATCAGGAAAATAATAGAGCAGGACATATATTTCGTAAGAATAGGAAGCTACCGTCTGGCTGGTGTGGCTCAGTGGTTGAGTGTCAAAGCATGCACCAAGAGGTCATCAGTTCAATTCCTGATCAGGGCACATGCCCAGGTTTGGGGCCAAATTCCCAGTGGGGAGCATCCAGGAGGTGGCCAATCAATGTTCTCTTTCATCAATGTTTCTATCTCTCTCTCCCTCTCCCTTCCTCTCTCTCTGAAATCAATTAAAAAATCTTTTTAAATAATAAATAAAATAGGAAGCTACCATGACCAAGCATTATTAATAAAATTCACCTGTGAGCCATACAAGAATGACAATGGTAGTTTAAGGGCACCTTGTATACTGTTTTTCTCCAGCAGTTATAGGTTCTGCACAAGAATACTAATGAACTTATTTTAAAACACAAAACCAACACTTGGAGAAGAAATTCAAACACAGCTCTCTCTGGCACCAAAGCTTATTCACTCCCTTTGCAGCCCAACAGGTAGCCTCTTGCTTCCTTTACATAACTCACACCCCTTGATAGTGGTGATGGCATTTCCCAAGCCAGAATCCCAAGCCCCCTTATGTTCCTGTGCCAGCCCTGGCACTTTCTCCTCTGCCACACTTTCATTTTGCCTTGGAAAGAAAGCTGGGCTGATTCTCAGAAATTTTCACATTCCACTCTGTACAGAAGCCTTGGCTAAGAAGTAGACACCAGAATCCTTTCCCTTCACCCCCACCCCTGTGATCAACAACACAAATAATAGTTCCTCTTTCAACGAGAAGGATTACTGGTTTATTATTTTTGTCCACTTGGGGCCTGATCTTCCATTTGGAAAATATACGGTACACCTCATCTGAATGTTAATGTCTTCACTGCATTAAGTGATTTGCCCCTATCCTCCCACCCCCCGTTTCTCAGCAAAAGGAGAGAACTGCTGTTGCACAGGATAAAGGAAATGTACATGTTCATGCCATTTCAAAAGTCTGTGTCATCCTGTGGGTTTGGGGCTGAGACTTCATTTTCTTTTTATTCTCACCACCCTGTTTCCCTTACTATTTCCCCTACAACAGAAGACTCAAAGTTGGCAAAATTCAGGACTTTCTAGGAGGCAACAGCTGGAAAATGCCCTAGACAAAAAATCGAAAGCTAGAGTTAGCAGGTGCAAGCTGCCGCCCACTGGGTTCTACCGCCTCACCCACAGGAAGAGAAGCCAATGGAGGCTAAGCATGGAAACCAATATGCCAGAAAACTGCCATTGCTACCCTGTGAGGATGCTATGGAACGTGGTAGGAAAAGAGGAAGAGAAGAGACTGCAGGTTCTGAAAGACCCACATTTTACTCCTAACTCTTTCACTTCGATTAATATATTCTTTCATTTATTTATTCATTCAATAAATATTTACTGAGGAACCACTATGTTCCCCGCATTGTTCTAAATTGTACAGGTATAATAAAGGACAAAATGTCTGCACCCTCAAGAAGGCTAAGATTAAGAGTATACTTGATGTGTGCTGTTGGTCAATTTACTTAACCTCTAAAACACTTGAAAGATCAATACTAACTACCTCACAGGTACAGATTAAAATAAAATAATATGTGTAAAATGTTGTATGATGCCATGGATGTCGTAAACAAAGAATAAATTATAGCCATTATTACTACATATTGATCCCACTTCATTCCCCTAGTTCCTAAGTTCCTCCTTCAATTGAGGCAAACACCTAAAAATGTCGTTAATTTTGACAAGCAACAGTATTCGAGATTTGGCATTTGTGATCCTGGTTTTAAAGGCATGGGCACTTGTGGAGAAGCCTCCAGTGCCTCGGCCCAAGGGACACTGAGGCCATGCTTCAAACATTAGGGTGGGAAAACAGCAGTGGAGTGGAGAGGTGGAGAGGATGTTTAAATTATTTGGGGGAAAGATATTACAAAATTCAATGAGGGTAATGCAAAGTCATTCAACTGTATCAAGGGCCATCTGGAAGAGAGGTACTATATGCTTTTGTGATATATTCATGCTACATTTTAAGACATTTGAAATGATAAGCCTCTTGGATTTACTATGGAATCTAGCAGATGCTTAGTTAGCAGTTGTGTCCATCACAGATGGAATTTCCTAGTTTCTGCTAATTTGTGGAATGACCTTATGTTTAAGTAAATGCTTACGTGTAAGTTTTGAAAAGTTAGCTGGCATAGAAGTTAATCTGGAAGAAGAAATGGGGGATTTTTATTCTAAGCTAAAAAACAGATCCTGGAGTTGCTTTGTTTTGGGTTTCTACCCTGGCCCCCACTCTACCACTTTAAACACTCCTTGGTATAGATGTGAAACAAACATGCCTTTATGTCTACCCATTGAGTAATCTGATCTTCAGCCAAAAAAATGTAACTGGCTCTTAATAACCAGGTGTGATGCAAAGAATATACCTGAAAGGTTATTCTACACATGTGCGAGTCAATGGAGCAGTTGTGTGAGTCCCATGAGTTTTCTAGTAAAGAAAACAACCATGGAAAAAGGAAGCTTTTGTTATAGAAAACCTCTGACCAAATTAGAAACAGATTTGATATTTCACTCATCTGGAGAATTGTTAAGTCAAATCCAGTCTACTCCTATCCTGGGGGAGCTGTGTGGCAGATTGCTCGGGGCATCTGTGTGCCAAAGGGAACCCAAGGCAGAATGCGAGACCCTTGTCACATGTCAAGGGCTCACATAATCCCACATTGCCAGGCTCTTTGAATTAACCTCAATGTTTAGTAGTCAACTTTTCAAAATGCAATTTCTGTTCTAAGGTTTGTGAAGTATCTTCATTTTCTGACACTGGGAAGTGATTACCAAATTATGAATTGTAAGTCGATAGAAACTGAGTCTATAAATTGCTCTGGCATTTTAAGAACTTGGTGTAACAGGGCAAGTGCCAAGAAGTGTTATCCCACAACAGAATGCTGTTCTTATCTTCAAAGGTTTTGATTCTGGTAATTCACCAAACTGCATGTATAGACATTTGGCTTACAGCTTACATAACCAATTAGCTGAAATCTAATATAATACGTTTACATTTTTAAATAGTATCAGTGTGCTGATATTATACTGCTGTGTATAAATATTCTCTCTGTTTTGTCAACCTACTTACCTGTTCATGTCCATCTGAAATACAGGACTATTTTTTTCCCCTAAGTCTAGTGGATATTGTCAGGGATCACTGTTCCAATTTCTGCTGCCTGTTTCCAAAAGAGAAACAATAGTTTTTCGTTTTAAAACAGCAGTAGAATATTTAGGTTTGTATGATTGTCTGTGATTCTTCAACTTGGGCAACATGACATGTTTTCATCAATTGCAGTCTGAAAGTATGGAAAGACGGAGAATTCACCACAGAGGGAAAGTCAGATGTTAGGGGATATAGGAAGCTCTGTGTATTGAGTATTCAATATTCAATCTACCTCTCTTTCTAATAGCAAACCCATAGTTTGTTCTGGTCTCTATTTATCAGGGAGGGTAATTCTACCCCCAATTCAAAATTAAATCTAAGACTACAAACTTTTTAGACTATAACTCAGAATAAGAAATAAATTTCACATGGCAACTCGTAAGTACACACATGTATTCTATATAATTTTTATAGAAAATTTTATTATACATTATGCTTTGATATGTTCATTTTTTAATGGTGATTCTGACCCACTAAATTTGATTTTCCCAACACATTAATTGGTCATGAGGCCAAGTTTTAAAAACACTGGCTTATAACTGTCATATCAAGCTTACTCTTCTTGACAATGATTGGCTTTGGGCTTAGTGACCTGCTCAAGTTCATGAGACATGAGGGAAGTCTGCCAGAGATTTTTCTTGAATTAAAAGAGTACATTATATTGAGTTCATGGTTTAGAGTCAATATTATTAGTATGCCAATTCTCTTTCCAAACTGATGGTATAGATTCAACAGATCATCAATTAAAATCCCATAAAGATTTTTAATATATTTTGAGAAACTGATTCTAAGAGGTATACGGAAAGCAATGGAATTAGAATAGTCAAAACAATTTTTTTTTATCCTCACCTGAGGACATTTTTCCATTTTTGGTTCAGATAGAGTGGGAGGGAGAGAGAGGAAGAGAGAGAGAGAAAAACATTGACGTGAAAGGGACACATCGAGAGGCAGCACCCGCACAACCAACCAGGGCCAGACAATCAGCAACTGAGGTAAGTGCCCTTAGCGGGAACCGAGCCCAGGTCTCTCTGGACCGTAGGCTAACGCTCTAACTGCTGAGCCAAACCGGCCAGGGCAGTCAAAACAATTTTTTAAAAATAAAGGTGATGAACTCATACTACCCAACTTCAAGATTTATTATGCTGAAGCTATACTAATCCAGACAGATTGGTATTGGTGAAAGAATAGACACATGGGAATAGAATAGAGTCCAAAAATAGACTCACACATATGACATCTATGGATTTTGACCAAGAGACAAAGGCAATTAAATGAAATAAAAAGATAAAGTCTTCAATAAATATTCCTGAAAACATGGACAGCCACATGCAAAATAAATAAATAAATAGAACCTTAATCTGTGCCTCATACTTTATACAAAACTAACTTAAAATGGATCCCAGTCCCATATGAAAAACTATAAAACTTTTAGAAGAAAATCTTCGTGAACCTGCATTAAGCAAAGACTTCTTAGATATGACACCACAAATACAATCAATGAAAGAAAATACAATAGGAGATTAAAAAATGGCGGCGGAGTGAACGAAAGCTACACAGACCGTCTCCAGAAGAAAACTGGAATTACAACTATAACACAGACATATTGATGGGAAAAAGCAACAGAAAAGCAGCTTGTGAGGACCATATAACGAGGGACACTGACTCCATCCTGGTAGGCTTGCGAAGGCTTGCAAAGTAGCAGGATACAAAATTAACGTCAAGAAATCAATGGCATTCTTGTACACCAATGATGAACTCACAGAAAGAGAAACTAAAAAAACAATCCCATTTACTATTGCACCAAAAAATTAAGATACCTAGGAATAAACTTAACCAAAGAAGTAAAGGACCTATTTGCAGAAAACTACAGGTCATTGAAAAAAGAAATAGAGGAAGATATAAAAAAGTGGAAGCACATACCCTGTTCATGGATTGGAAGAATTAACATCATTAAAATGTCCATACTACCCAAAGCAATCTATAGATTCAATGCAATCCCCATCAAAATACCAACGACATATTTCATAGAACTAGAACAAATACTTCAAAAGTTCATATGGAACCAAAAAAGACCCCGAATAGCCACAGCAATCTTGAAAAAGAAGAACAAAGTAGGTGGGATCACAATACCAGATATCAGGTTATACTACAAAGCGACTGTAACCAAAACAGCCTGGTACTGGCACAAGAACAGGCATATAGACCAGTGGATCAGAACTGAAAACCCAGAAATGGACCCAAAGCAATACGCTCAATTAATATTTGACAAAGGTGGCAAGAGCATACAGTGGAGTAAAGACAGCCTCTTTAATAAATGGTGTTGGGAAAATTGGACAGCTACATGCAAAAAAAATTAAACCAGACCATCAACTTATACCATACACAAGAATAAACTCAAAATGGATAAAAGACTTAAATATGACTCATGTATCCATAAAAATTCTAGAAGAAAATGTAGGCAACAAAATTTCGGACATCATACGCAGCAGAATTTTCACTGATACATCACCTAAGGCAACAGAAACAAAGGAAAAAATGAACACATGGGACTACATCAAACTAAAAGGTTTCTGCACAGCAAAAGAAACAATCATCAAAATGGAAAGGCAACCCACTGTATGGGAGAACATCATTGCCAATGATGTATCAGATAAGGGGTTAATTTCCAATACATATAGAGTGCTCATACAACTCCACAAAAGGAAGACAAAGAATACAATTAAAAAATGGGCAGAGGAACTGAATAGACACCTCTCTAAACAGGACATACAAATGGCTAAGAAACATATGAAGAAATGCTCATCATCACTAATCATCAGAGAGATGCAAATTAAAACAACAATGAGGTATCACCTCGCACCTGTCAGAATGGCTGCCATCAACAAATCATCAAACAACAAGTGTTGGCGAGGGTGTGGAGAAAAGGGGACTCTGATACACTGCTGGTGGGAATGCAGACGGGTGCAGCCGCTGTGGAAAACAATATGGTGTTACCTCAAAAAATCAAAAATTGAACTTCCATTTGACCCAGTGATCCCACTTCTAGGAATATACCCTAAGAAGCCTGAAACACCAATCAGGAAGAATATATGTACCCCCATGTTCATAGCAGCACTATTTACAATAGCTAAGATCTGGAAACAGCCCAAGTGTCCATCAGTAGACGAATGGATAAAAAAGCAGTGGTACATATACACAATGGAGTACTATGCAGCAATAAGAAAGAAAGATCTCTTATCCTTGGAGACGACATGGAGGGACCTGGAAAGTATTATCCTAAGTGAAAGAAGCCAAGCAGAAAGAGACAAATACCACATGATCTCACTTATATACGGAGTATAATGAACATAACAGTCTGAGGAATACAGTAGACCCAGAAACATGGAAGTAGGGCACAGACTGACCTCCCTCAGAAGAGGGTGTGGAGGGGAGGTGGGAAGAGATAAACCACAGAACTTATATGCATGTATGCATGACCAATAGACATGGACAACTAAGCCGGGGACGGGGCAGGGGTGGGGTGGGGAGGGGGGTGCCAATGGGGTAAAAAAGGTAAAATATCTGTAACAAAAAAATAAATTAAAAAATTAAAAGAGAAGAAAAGAAAAGAAAATACAATAAATCATACTCAGCAAAATGAAATAATTTGCTTCCTGAAAGATAATACTTGGAGAATGAAAAGACAATCCACAGGCTTTGGAGGATATATTGGCAAAGCATATATGACAAAGAACTTGTATCCAGATTATATAAAGAACTCTCAAAATCAATAGTAAGAAAGAAAAAACAAAAAAACAAAAAAAAAAACACACACACACAAACAATAAAAACAAAGGCAAAGATTTGAGCAGAATCTCCACTAAAGAAGATATATAGCTGGCAACTGAGCACATGAAAGATGTTAAAATCATTATGCAATGGGGAATTGCAAATTAAAGCTACAATGATACACCACTGCACACACATTAGAATGTCAAGGAAAAAGAACAAATCAGTAGTTGCCAGAGTTAGGGTTGGGGGTAGGGTTGACTCCAAACAAGCAGCACAAAGGAGTTTGGGGATTAATGGAACTGTTCTGTATCTTGATTGTGGGGCTGGTTACATGATTGTGTATTTGTCAAAACTCAACTGCACAATAAAAAGTGAATTTTATGTAAATTTGGAAATTTCAAAGAAACACAAAAGAAGAGAAGGCTCCTTTGTGCTCAGCGATGTGCTGCCTGTGACAGCTGCAAGTTGGGCAGCCACTTTGTCATCATGGGTGAACTGAAGTGAAGACTACTGTATACAGGTGGCAGAGCGGAGAAAGTGAAAGAAGTTTTCCAAACCTGAAACCAACTCATCTTTGAATCTTATTACATAAAATAATGGGAATTTCCTTTCTTTATAAGCCATTTTGAATTGGATTCTCTGTTATTTGTAGCCAAAAAAAATCCTGTACAGAAAGTCTCAATGACTTTGTTTCAGAAACTGCTTTATCCCCATCAGATATGTCCCCTCAACTTATATCAAAAATTTTCAAATAGTATGCTTATTTAGCTTTACAGAAAAGGTCATTCTATGACTTTTAAAATGCAATGTGGTCCGGCTGGTGTGGCTCAGTTGTTGAGCGTTGACCCATGCACCAAGAGGTCACCGGTTTGATTCCCAGTCAAGGCACATACCCAGGTTGTGGGCGCGATCCCCAGTGGGAGTCATGAGGGAGGCAGCCAGTTGATGTTCTCTCTCAGCAATGTTTCTATCTCTCTCTCCCTCTAACTTCCTCTCTCTAAAAATCAATAAAGGAAAAAATAAAATCCAGTGTGAATGAAATATGTATTGAGATTGGCAGGTGCTACAAATTGGAAGAAGGTCAAACCCAACCCACCGTTACCTATTCCTCTTAACAAGTACCTCCTGTTCCTTTTTATCTCTTTTCACCAAAGTACATTAATCATAATAAAAAAGAATGATATGCCTAGTCAATGTGACTCAGTGGATTGAACATCATCCCATGGACTGAGAGGTCCCAGTTTGATTCCCAGTCAGGGTACTTGCCCAGGTTGTGGGCTCGATCCCTAGTGGGAGGCATGCAGGAGGCAGCCGATTGATGTTTTTCTCTCACATCGATGTTTCTATCTCTCTCTTCCTTTCTCTCTAAAAAAAAAAAAAAAAAAAAAATTAATAAAAACATATTTAAAAATAAAAGAATGATGTCATATGTGAACTTAAATTTGAATAACCTTTGCCCTGGTCGGGTGGCTTAGTTGGTTGGAGCATCATCCCATACACCAAAAAGGTGCAGGTTCAAACCCCATTCAGGGCACTTATAGGAGGCAACCAACCCATGTTTCTCTCTCACATCAATGTTTCTCTTTCTCTCTCTCTCAAATCAATAAAAACATGTCCTCAGGTGAAGATTTTTAAAATTTAAATAATTTTGGAACCAAAGGAAAATTGAATTTCAAAATAATGCCTTTGGCATATACCTAATATTAGGTTTTATGAAATGTAGTGATCAACACCAGCAATACCCCTGTCCTTATGGGCTTTCTGTCAAGTAGGATAGATAGACATTGAATAGTAATTCCCAACATGACACATGTTATAAACAAATGAAAAGACAGGATGCTGTGGGAACATAAAATAGGAGTATGAAAATCAGCTTGACCATCCCAAGAATGGCCCAGGAAGAGACATTTAATCTATTTTTGATGTCTCTGTTGGTGTCTAATGCCTACCCATCCTTCACCCCAGGCCAGACAGCTACTTCATGTGGGAACCTCTACCTTAGAGGATGGAGTCATTGATGGAGAACATTTCAGTGAAAGAGGGACACTCTATCACTTACTATATGATAATTAATGGTTGTTTTACTTATTGGTTGCATCAAACAACCCAATATCATAACAATGTCATCAACACCATGTTCGGCCAGAAGAGTAACTGAGTGCTCAAAATGGGACACAGAAGCCTGCTTGAAAAGACTTTCACTGGCCAAATCTAAGATAATTTGAACATAAAAATAAAGAGTAATGAAACCTTTTTATAATGGTCTTTATTTAAGAATTTAAAGAGAGTGGGAAAAGACAAAGAGAAAGTTCTGTACAGAAAAATGCCAAGTAATAAATGTAGAAGTAATTGTTGAATTAGAAAATAATCACTTTGCAATAGCTAATTCAGCAAATAATTATCAATCAATATTAAAATTTTTGAGTGAAAGGTTTTGGAAAATTGGATATTCAAAATATCACACAAAATATTACTAGTTAATTAAAAAAACTAAAATATCTTTGCAATGGAAAAATATGGCAACCGCTACCAAATTTGATATCAGCAAAGATGGAATGAACTGACAATATGTGCCTCTTGATGTAGTAAACTGAGAAATACACCAAATGACCTGCATAGTTGTTATATGAGAGATAGTTTGTCTAGTCTTTGTTCCTGGTTCCTGGAACAGAGCTTCTAAAACCCTTGAAATTTCCTAAGTGGTCAAAGTGTCTTTGTTATTCATGAGCCCCTTAATTACACCTGAGTTTATGCTAAAATGTGACTCATGATGGGCCTCCAGGAAGCTTCAGAATGAACTCTGATTAGCAGAAAGACCAACCACGTTATTAGAGGGTCGGAACTCTGAACCAGCCTATCTTCTGGGGAAGGGAAGAGGGCCGAAGACTGAGTTCAATCATGTGATCAATGGTTCAGTCAATTATGCCTACATAATGGCATTCCAATAAAACTTCTGGACACTGTCACTCAGTGGAACTTCCTATTTGGTGAACACATCGATGTCCCAGGAACGTGATATGCCCTGATATCAGAGAGACATGGCCCAGAGCGCTGTTTAAAACTCCCCCAGACCTCGCCTGTATGTCTCTTCATTTGTCCATTCCTAGGTTGAATTCTTTATAATAAAATTATAATAACTATTGTAAAGGGGTACAGAATTTGACCCCTCAAAATATGCTTTGGGGTTATCTTAAACTAGTTATCTTTTTAAAAAACAGCAGACATGGGAGAAGCTCTGAAAACCCAGTAGAAATTACCCTTTTGTAAGAGACATTTACTTTTATAAGGGAAATCTTCATTTGTAAGGATGTCTCCCTCTCTGTACCAGGAAGAAAAGGATGACTAAGTCTCTTCGAACTCATAAATGAAGAAGGTGCCTACTAACTCTGCAAACAACCTTGTTTACTGTGCTTTGCCTGATTATAACCTCCAATAACTGGCTCCTCCCACCCTCAATAGTTTCTTTTGTCATTAGCGGGAGATAGTATTTATGGTGATGGTCATTTCCGGGAGTTACTCTGTTTCCTGGCTATCTCCCATGTATACCAGAGATATGCATGTTATTAAACTTCTGTTTGGTTTCCTTCTATTAATATAACTTCCATTACAGAGGCTCTTGGCCAAAAACCCAGAAGGATAGAGAGAAAATTATTTTCCTCCTCTACAATAGCATTTTAAAAAATATATTTTTTTAAATTGATTTTAGAGAGGAAGGGAAAGAGAGACAAAGATAGAAACACTGATGAGAGAGACTATCAGTTGGCCGCCTCCTGTATGCCCCCACTAGGGATTGAAGCCACAACCTGGGCATATGCCTGACCGGAAATCGAACCTGTGACCTCTTGGTACATGGGTCAAGGCTCAACTGAGCCACACAGGCCAGGCTACAATAGCATTTTTTTTTTAGTTCTGTGAGTCATTCTAGTGAATTATTGAACCCAAGGGGATCCTAAGAATTCCTGGACTTGCAGCAAGTTGGTCAGAATGTGGTCGCCTTGGGAGTCCCCTGAACTTGCAGCTGGCATCTCAACTGAAGGCAGTGTTTTGGGAGATTGTGCCCTCTACTTGTGGGGTCTGTGCTAACTCCAGGTGGTTAATACCAGAATTGAATTGCTATACACCAATTGGTGTCAAAATAATAGCCTTTATGCCAATAATGCTTAATTTGAATCTAAGCACAAAGAAACAGAAAGGAAAAAAAAAATCAAGGAATATTCTCCAAAACAAATGACCTGGACTCTTCAGAAGTAGTAATGTAGTCCAGCCAGGGTGGCTTAGTGGTTGAGCATTGACCTATACACCAGGAGGTGGCTGGTTTGTTCAGGGCACATGCCCAGGTTATGGGCCAAATCCCCAGTGGGGGCCATGCAGGAGGCGGCCAATCAGTGTTCTTTCTCATCATTGTCTCTATGTCTCTCCCTCTCCTTTCCTCTCTCTCTAATATCAATAAAGAAAAAAATTTTTTTAAAATAGAAGTAGCAATGTAAAGAAAGACACACACACACAAAGACTAGGTATGTGTTCTAGATTCAAGGATGCTAAGGAAACATGACAACTAATTACGATGTAATTTTTGGACCTTGAACTGTAAAAATAAAGAAACAAGAGCTTATGTGCTTTGAAAAGAGTGTCCTTGTTTTAAGAGATACATGGAAAAGTACTTACCGGTGATTTGTCATCATGATGTCTGTAACTTAATCACAGATGCTTCAACAAAAACAAACTAATACACTGTGAGAGAGAGAGAGAGTGAGAAAAAAAAAAGAGAGAATGTTAACAAAGGGAGAATCTCGGTGAATGGCTATACGTTGCCCTGTTCTTTTAAAAATTTTAAAACAAACAAATTGAGGAAAAATGACTGCATCAAATAAGCTGCCTCAAAATGTCCTCATGCATCAAAGTCTATGTCAAATACAACACTGTGAATACACTTAATGTTACTAAATAGCACACTTGAAAATGGTTGAAATGGTAAATTTTATGTTATATATATTTCACCACAATTTTTCTAAATGCTATGTCAAAATGTCTGTATCAGGTCTTGTGCCCTCCTGCAGGGGAAGCAGGAGGGTGAAGGAATCGGGTGAGCAAATACTGTCTGCTTGACAAAAGGAGGGCCCAGGAAATGAGGCCCGATAGGGAGGCTAGAGTTTAAGGCAGCTGGCTAACAGGATCAGGACCCAGCTATTCTAGATGATTCTGGCCTGGCTGCAGTGCAAGCTGTTTCAGCTCCACTCAGGTGGGCACCTGGCCAGGTGAAGTTTGCTGGTGCCAGCTGTAACACAGGGAACCCAGGTGTCTGGGATGATTTTATTTTGTCTCAATTTTCTATGGAAAGGTGAGGGAGATAACAATGTGGACACAGCTCCAGATGTATTATGCTGCCGGGAGCAACCTGCTGAGGTTCAAATCCAGAGCTGGTTTTGCGCAGGTTGGGCTCAGCAGACCTGGCTGGGGCTTCCCTTTCGCCCAACCACGGAACCAACTTGGAGGCAGGAATGTAGCAAGAAATACTGTCACCAAATGTTTCTCTTGTCATTCACTGCTTAGAGGGGCTCTTTACAGTTGTCCAAGTAGCACTTTTTTTTCTTTTTAGCACATGTCACATAGACATTTAAATAGCTTTTTTAAATCCTCACCCAAGGAAATTTTTCCATTTTATCAGAGGGGGAGGAAGAGAGAGAGAGAGAGAGACAAACATCAATGTGAGAGAGACACATCAATTGGTTGCCTCCCACACAACCCTGACCAGGGCCAGGGACCAAACTGCAACCCAAGGTACATGCCCTAGAGTGGAATCAAACCCAAGACTCTTTGGTTCAAGGGCCAACGCTCCAACTGCTGAGCCAAACCGGCCGGGGTGACATTTGAATAATTTATTTATTATTTATCGTCCAGGACTTCCTTCCCTCCTGTTCCCACTCCTCCTTTCTCTCTCTCTCCCTCTTCGTTGTGATAAAATATTCATAACACAAAACTTAGCTTTTAAACGATTTTAAGTGTATAATTCAGTGTCATTAAGTACCCTTTTTCTTTTAATTTAAACTAGTTTTTAGAATTACTATTATTACATCAGGTAATTTGTGCATATGATTAAAAATAATGCAAACCCTATAGGAGACAAAATTAAAAAAATAAAAAGAAAGTGTACCACCCTGTTATCCCCAAAAGTGCTATTAACATTTTTTTTTTGTGAAACCTGTCCAAAACATCTTAAAGGACCATCACTTTTTAGTAACACAGTGTATTCACTTGCTCCTCAGGGGTAAGGAGACTCAGGCAGAAGAAGCATAATGATTGCTTTTTGTTCCTGGAGATGCAGGAGAGGTTTGCTTTACAAACCCAAGAGAGTATAAGCCCACGTGCACACAGACATGAGGACACACACACACATGTGCAGCACATGTGTGCATTCCTATAACCGACTATATATATACTTATACATAGTTTAAATTTATACAATAAAAGAGTAATATCATATTTCATGTCTTGATTTATTTTTTACTCAGCAATACATCTGTGCCATTACCACCCACACTCATAGATACACTTTGTTCATTCTCTCCTTTAAGGCTTTAAACACTTTTCACTTAAATAAATAAATAAACACTTGTCACTGCCTGAAATATATCATCATTTCTCTTCTCTCAGGTAATTCTTCTAAGCCATTCAGATCTCTCTCATATACTACAGTCTCTAAGCATTTGTTGTTTTCACATCATGATTTAGTAGTTAGTTATGAGGGAACCACCTACCTTAGTGGACAGGAGAGTGAGCTCCTGAGTCAGTCATTCACAGCATTTGACCTCAGCTCCATCGCTGACTAGTTACAGAAGGGGTCTGTGGAAGTCCCTTTGGATGTTTTTTCAAATTTCTCTGAACTTATTTTCTCATATAAAAGTTGAATTTTTTTAAAAAAAGAAATGATAGTATTATGATACTTTTATAGGAATTATACATATCTATTATGTACTTGTATTAATCAGGATTCTCTAAAGAGACTAATAGGAGATTTTATATATATGTGTAGCTATCTGTCTATCTTTGAGAGGGGGGCAGGGGAAGGGATTGATTTTAAGGGACTGGTTCATGCAGTTCTGAAGGCTGGCGGTCCAAAACCTGCAGCGGAGGCTAGCAGCCTGGAGACTTGGGGGAGCTGCCGGTCGAATCTACAAGAATTCCTTCTTTCTCTACACAGCAGGTCTTTTTATATGAATACCTTTCACTGATTGGATGAGGCCCATCCAGATTATAGAAGATAATCTGCTTTACTAAAAGTTGACTGATGTAAATATCGATGTCATCTAAAAAATATTTTCAGCCCTGGTCGGTTTCGCTCAGCGGTTAGCGCCTCGCCCGGGACCAGAGAGTCCCAGGTTTGGTTCCCGCTAAGGGCATGTGCCTCGGTTGTAGTTTGTCTCAGGTCCCGGGTGGGGTAGTGTGGGTGGCAACCACTCGATGTGCCTCTCTCACATTGATGTTTCTCTCTCTCTCTTCCTCCCTCTCTCCCTTTCACTCTATCTGAAGAAAAATGCAAAAATGTCCTCGGGTGAGGGAAAAAAAACATATATATATATATGTATTTTTTTTTCTCCACAAAAATATCTAGAATGACGTTGAACTTCATATCTGGTACTATGGCCTAGCTAAGTTGACTCAATATATAAATCATTAGAGTGGTTTTCAAATTTAAAAATACTTTGCCCTGCCCTGTTTGGCTCATTGGTTACAACATCTGCCTTTGATGAAAGGGCTTCAGGTTTGATTCAGGTCAAGGGCACTACCTGGGTTGTGGGTTCAATCCCAGACCCCAGTTGGGTTATGAAGGAGGCAACCAAACAATGTGTGTCTCTCACATCAATGTTTCTCTCTCTCCCTCCCTCCCTTTTCCTCCCACTCTCTCTAAAAATCAATGGAAAAATATCCTGAGGTGGTGATTAAAAAAACTTTTCTTTTTATTCTGAGAAAGCACAAAGAAGCATTTTATCCAACTTCAGCCCAATTACAAACACATAGGAACAAACAATTTCAGTCTTTAGTAACCACTATTCTCACAATTCCTATATCGCTAATGGGATAAATAAAGATAAAGGATAAAAAGCATACACTAAAAATGCTATTTTTAAGATAAAAGTTTATAATTTAATATTCCTTTAATAGGAGAAAGAAGAAAATTAAGTGTAAATTTAAATAAATATTTCTTTGCAATAGTTATGTTCATTCTTAAAAGATCCTTCTGAGGCTCAATAAACACATGATATAAAGACATTAAGAAACGGAAGTCATATGGCTTCCTTCCTTCCTTCCTTCCTTCCTTCCTTCCTTCCTTCCTTCCTTCCTTCCTTCCTTCCTTCCTTCTGTTTCAATTTTAGACAGACTTTACTTTCCTATTAGAAAGATAAAGAAATTACCACAGTACATGACCTCTGACTCTCTTCCTCTCTCCATTTTCCAATATTCATTTGTATTTGTAAACTACTGATGTTAGTTTTACGTTGTTAAGGTTTATAAAGCTTACATTATGTGCTGAATTATAAATTCCACAGTTATTTCATTGTAATTATATACATAAATATATTCAATGCTTATTGCCATGTTTTTTTAACCAAACCTTTCTGTTTTTTACCTTTAATTTTGATTCATCTCTTGGTTGGCTAGATTTTGTCAATTAATCTTTTATTTATTTTTTTCCCTGTATAATTTTTTTTTCATGAAAATTTCATGAGTGCAATGTGCACGGTGACCAACCATCCTCATTTATCTGGGTCTGTTGGGTTTCAGTACTGAAAGTCCTGTTTCCGGAGCAACCTCTCCGTGCCAGCCAAACAGGGACAGGTGTTCACCATAGCCATATCCCTGAAGTTCTTGTTTTACATGTAAAGCAGCTTGGACTCCCACTTCCCTGAGAACACAGTAACTTTTGCTTCACTGACTCCTGCACCTAAACGTTGCTGGGCAGAAGTATGCATCAGACCTACGCACTGTCCCCTACACACTGGTCTTGTTTTTGTTTTGTTTTTTCTGGCTTTGAAGCCCATCAGATTCTTCCTTTAGTCTTGACATTCAGTAACTTTTCTTCTCTTAGTTTTTTACTGAGGACCGGATGCACTCTGTCATTATGCAGCCTAATCTCTTTCAATATTTCAAGCAAGATGATTCTTGTTTTATGTCTTCAAACATTTTTTTCTGTTTCATTTCATTCTTTTCTCATCTCCAGGAATTCCAGCTATGCGTATGCTTTCTCTCTTTATTGGTCTCTGCTTCCTTTTGAGCGAATTCTCGAGTCCAGTCATGCTTTCTTAATTCTGCCCCTAGCAATGTTTCCCTGGTCAGATTATGGGACTCATGAGAGCCATATATTAGTAAGTGAGGGGGAGTAGAGTTTTCCTTCACAAAATATCCCTTTTTGGGGATGTTAATTACCTTAAGCTGCTTATTTTCAAGAAACAAAAGACTCAGGAAAAACCTTTGATCTTCTTCTGTATTGCCTAAAAGAACTCAGGTAGAGGACCTGCCCAAGAAAGGGCACTATGATAGCACCTATAGTTTACTCTGAATCAGGTGTGATACACAGGAAGGAAACTGGCAAGCCCATTTGATCAAAGACCTCTCTGTGTCCCATTGTAAATGATGACCCAACAAACATTTGTTTTCCAACTATTTCCATCTCCATGTGAATTGCCTCACCCCTCCCCTTTGAGTCCCAAACTACTACCTGCCTCTATAGCCTT